ATATATATATATATATATATATTTCTTTCATCACTACTGCCTACATTATTAAATTTCCCAATTATTTGTTTTCTAAGTTTTTTTTTTGTCTTTCAGGGCTACCCTTTGTAGCTTACTCCCCAATTAATCCGGATTAACTAGGGTTTACTGTATACTCTGAGTTACGGGGCAGCGTCAAGTCACAAAAAAAAAATGTGTGAACTGTGATGTGTAACTCGCTACACCACCACCAGTTGTCGCCACTGGACGGAGGGCAAAATTCAGGTTGAGAGCACCGGCTCGATGCCCCACATGGGTCTCAGACCAATCTCCACACAGCGCCCCACACAAAACTCAAATTATTGACCTTACAGCAAATATGTTCCCTCAATCGAAAAAAAAAATGCATCAGAAAAACCTGGTGTAGCCGCTGCATATTTGTATTCGGTTCGAATCTCTGGCAGGACACCACCGGTAATCCCCAATGAAGGTTTCGTGGTTTTGCTCATTCGCTCCAGGCGGATATAGGAACAGTACCTCAATGAGGCTACGTCCAACTCCTTCCAAATCCCAATTCATCATTCGACACTGACATGGACTGCAAAGTAACCACGCAAAATGCAGGACTCTGATGTTTGCCTGGGACAAACACAAACATGGTACGATGCTTGTCAAGGCAGACAGAGCCACCACGTATGATGAGCTCCGCCAATTAACTTAATGAGAAAAGTAAGCTCAAAATTAGAAAGCCTTGCTTAAGTCGTTTGTGTCTTACAATGAGCAGAGTTGGAGGGGAGGAAGCTCAAACGTGCGCAAGCAACATGAAGTCTAGGCTGCACACTTCACAATATAAACACGTTATTCTGACAACCAAACCCAGATACTATCCCCGCATTCGCCTGGAGGGACTGACGGAAACCACGAAAAACCTCCGTCAGACTAACCCACCGGTGTCGTGGAAGAGTTTCAAAGCGAGAAGAACCTCTGTATTACCGAGTCTAGCGCGTTACCGCTATGATAACCGGCCAGATGGAGACTCATGCTAAAAGTGGCCTCATTCACACATACACAGACTCCTCCACTTCTGCCCCCTCGACCTCTTGCATAACTAAAAAACTAATTAACGGAATAGTGTCATTCTTGAACAGCTAGAAGGTCGCACATCTGACCATGAACTTTCCTGCCCTATACGAAGAAGCCACAATGCTAGGTAATTACGGCGTTCAAAAGAGCCCCATACTGTTCCCTATCCTATTTGCATAAGATCCATTTTAATATTATTCCCCATTTACGCCTGGGTCGCCCAAATAATGTCTTTACTTCAGTTTCGGTACACCTTTATACACCCTGTCCATCTCATTCTGTGATCTGATGATCAAAACCGCTTGGTGGTGAATGCCTTAAACTAGGATGACCCTCATTATGCATCTCTGTCACTTGAATATTACGTATAAACATCCACCTCAAAACCTCCAATATATGTACATCCTTTCCTTGGTGCAAGAGATCACAGGTATCCAGTAAAGCTATCCTTGTAAGAGGCCGTAGAGGCCCATAGGGTTGTGAGACGTCGAAGCACCCACATTTTCTAGACAATCGGCTCACAGATGGCGGTGAGGTAAGGCAAAACTATCCCTGTAACAGGCCGTGGAGACCGATAGGGTTGTGAGACGTCGAGGTTCCCACATTTTCTACACAATCGGCTCACAGATGGCGGTGAGGTAAGGCAAAACTATCCCTGTAACAGGCCGTGGAGACCGATAGGGTTGTGAGACGTCGAGGTTCCCACATTTTCTAGACAATCGGCTCACAGATGGGGTTGAGGTTAAGTAAAGCGATCCCTGTAGCAGGCCGCGGAAGCATACAGAGTGGTGAGAC